TGTTGGCCAAATGTTTGCGTCATCTCCATCTTATTATAGCATTGTTGAGGTTTTCTCTCTTTCTGTAATTTTCCTATTAAAGAAACCACTTAAGTTATCGGGCAATTTTTGGAATTTTTTTGCTATTTTATTAAAGATATTGAATGGTCGAGACGATTTAACGGAATTAATCGAAGGTGTTGCAACGCCACTCATCCTGATGGATCCTCTTTCACTCCGTGGCAATTGGGCATATATTGAAAATTTCGAATCTGTCGAACAGCTTGTAAGTCTTTTAGCCTTCCTTAGAAGAATGAATTGAATATTCCCGAAAGCAGCTTTAAGACAGCATCCGATTATTGCTTTTTTTTCGTTTTTCTAAGGAAATTCAATTAAATTTTAGAGTCATCACGTCAATTCACTCTATGAGCAACAGCGTAGACTAATAGTAACTTTGCGAAAGTCAAATGAAATGCGCTCCATTGACGAAACGTGTTTGTGTGGTAGCATGAAAGAAGAAGATAATTCTATTATTCGTTGTCTACTTTGTTACGCCAAATTTCATCGTACGTTTGTAAAATTAATTTGATCAAGTTTAAGGTATTTTTTCTTCAAGTGCTTCAAGTTAATGTTGCGCAACAATTAGTTCTTGTTCATTAGTTTTCTGATTAAGTATTAGATGATTAGAAAAGCCGATCTTTGAGACTTTTTCGTACACTGGATGTCTGGAGAGAGAAGAAAATACTAACTTTCGAGAGTTACATATGTTAGATGTTTGAGAGGAAAAAATCAGAAATTCACCCTTGTCCTATAGAAGAACTGAAGTCGTAGAGATGCTAATGTTGGGATAAGTTCGCTTCTCATAACAAAGGTAGGTTGCATGTTATGATTTGCTTGTCATGCTGTGATAATGATTTATTCAGTATTCTGTGATATTCAGATTTAATCAGTGAGGTAAGACTTCACTGTCAGTAGAACTTAAAAATCTATAAACTAAGCTTTGATTTTTATATTTTTTCCATATTGTCAATTCACTAGCAACTAAGGTCGCTTTAAACAGTATTTTGATCTTTTTTGGCACGAATTATTATGGTAATTAGTAATGCATAATCGTTGCTCCACCAACCTAAAATTTGCATCCCGGTTATGAAATTTTTTCAGCAAGTTGCGTGCAGTGGAATCCGTTCATGTTACAGCTTCCGGTAGGCTATTATCTTTGTGTACGATGCTTGCGTAGCCTCCGTCCTTTTGTTGAAGACGTAAAGGCTGCATGTAGGACTGCTCTACCATCTTTGGAACGTTTATTGGTTGAAACTGCTTTGAAACATGCTGAATTGGCTTATGCAGAAGCTTTAGACGTTGTCGGCAAGCTACCACCTCTTGGTACTCCTCTTGACGCGCAACTATGTAAAAGGCATGTCTGTCTTGAAAATTTTTTATCAGCATCTCAGACTTTGTGGATCCGAGTTGTCATAGCGAGATTTAAAATAATAGGAAATCACGACACATAAGTACTTATGTGGTTAGAGTGTATTTGAGCTGCAATTGAAAATGCGAAATGCTTTGCTATTAAACTTATTATGCCTATTTGTTATTTAATTTATGTAAGAAATAAATGAGTAATATTTGTTTATATTTTTACTTTAGTGTTGATGAAACTTTGATTGCGGTTTTCTGTAACGAAATAATGAATTCGAAAGCATGGAAATTGATTACTGATGCACTCGTTCGAGTGAGCCCGCCTACTGAAGAGGAGAAAGAGATTTGTGAGCAGATCAAACAACGACCAATTCCGGCACAAATTCCAAATGTTCTGTTTTCTGACAATAGTGGCAGTAAAAGACGTCGAGGTTTGAAGCGAGGCATATTAGGAAATGGCAAATTTATGGCGGGACATCGAAAACGTTCCAAGAATGATTTTCATCAAGAACAGGACATTTGTTCTGCCACCACCTGTCTGCGACCTTATAGTTAATCGCTATAGCGTTTATTTTTTTTGTATCTGATAATAAACTGAATTAGTTTTACAAAATTGAAATATCTTTTTAAAAAAATTTTAACTTAAATCAATTAATAATTCAAAAGTGAACTAAGAATATGTAGCAAGTAGATTGTCTCGTATTGTTGAGTTCTATCATTCACTACTTTAATGAACAGTCTGTTTTTGTAATTCACACGCAAATATTGATAGGTGATCACATTCGTTGGATTCAGTGTGAAGCAGGTTGTTCACGATGGTATCATTATGTTTGCGTTGGACAAACGGTGAATCGAGTGCACCGGACATCATTGTATTGTTGCAAGCGCTGTTTGGCAATTCCACCGGCGTGTTCATCCTCTGGTCTATCTACTTCATGTCCTCCTTAAGCATCGATCTGTTTTTGGTACAATCTCGACAGTTTTATTACCTTTTAAAAACACAAGGAAAAAACGAAACAAGCAAGTCTCGATTGCCTCTATTGTCTCTTTTTTTTACTGTTCTTTATATCTGTTTCTCTGATTTATGTCTATTGTTGTTTGTTTTAAACAGTTTTTGTCACCGGATTTGTGTATATTCAGTAAATTTTATTTCATCATTACGATATCAATTGTATTGTTTTATTTCATTAGATTTCAATCATACATTGTGTGATCTCGTCTGACACAGTTTCTGTGTTTGTCAATTGATCGCATTGATTGTTTTGTGTAGCCTTTCTGCCTTGTTGATTGAAACTATTTTTTGGTTTGTTTGTTTATTTGTTTGCAAGACTAATGTTCTTTTCTAGAATGTTAATTGGATTGTAATTTCATCAACCACTATCCTTTCATCTGGTTGTCTTTTTTAAAGTATATAAGCAGTCCATTGTTGTGGGCATAGCGTTATGCTACACCTATAATTATCCATTTTTATCTATATTTCTCTATATTTATTTTCATTTCTTTCTTATTTTTCTATCATCCCTCTTTTTCTTCATTTAAATATATCCCCGTGATTGCTCGTATTTCTTTATATATTTATATCTCTTTTTATTTCCTCATTTTTCTTTTCGTACTTCATATATTACTACTTCTATTTGTATCCTTTATTCTTCTTGGTATTTTTAGCTGACTCTTATTAGTATACGATTATAAGTGCTACAATCCCATTATTTCCGACTAAAATGTATAGATGCTTTCTTAAGGTAATTGGTACTCTTATGTCATTATTTATCTGCGTTATCCCTATAAAATGTGATATTTTTCGATCAAGCACTGATCGAAGTACCTTTTTTTGTTATTGTATTCTTTTTGTTTTTTTTTTGATATTCTATTATTATATATCTCTGATTAAAATGCCAATAGCAGTGATATAGTGATAACAGTATGAAAACACACGGATATTTCTGTATTAATTGTTTTTGTAGCAAATATTATATTCTATGTTCTTGTTCTCTTTGTACTTTTAATTTATCTCGTAATAATTTCCCTTTCTCTGCATACGTACTTCCATCTTTTGACTAAAATTTCTCTTTATAAAAAGATTTAGACAAAAATTTCTCCCTTTTTGCAAAGATCAAGTATTCAACATTTTAAACCAGTGGATAAATTAGATAGAGATAATTTGATGAAATTCCACTCATCTTATCGACATTTCCAGAGTATTTTTTGGTTATTAAATGATTATGGTTGGTTAAATATCCAAAGTATTTTTGGTTATTATTAAATGATTAAATTTTTTTTGGGAATTATAGTACATCTTCCTTTGGTGCTGCTACTGCTGTTTTGAAAACGGCGTACATTGACATTTTTCTAAGACACACAAAATATCACTGAATTATCTTTCCATTTAATTCATCCACTGATTATAATTCCGGTGATTCAAACTGTTGAATTACTTAATCTTTAATGTCGAATACAAGGCTTCACAATTTGCATGAAACTTTCAAAAGTACGTATTATTTTGCTTCCAGCAAAATTGCTCGAAAGTTGCATTGCTTGGCTTTAATTTACTCGGATATCTTTCTAAAATTTTGTTCATAAGTTCATGTTTTGCTTTTATGATATAAACTTTTTTTTCACCTGATGTTTCACATGAAATACCTTTAAAATACGATTTTTATTGTTGAATTGCAGAAAATTCCCATGAAAAGACGAATTCCTTCTTAGATCAACAATACACTTTCGTTTGTTCTCGCTTGGAAATTCTCAACTGGGAAGCGGCATCTATTTAGCATTCAAAATATGCAATTAAACTGTTTGATTTTGTCTCAATAAGCTTCCCAATTGTCTTATGGTGTTAGGTTCAATTCATATATTCTTGGTATATACAAGTCTTGGCTGCTTTGGAAAACTTGCTATGCGGATTATTTTCAAGATAGATTTAGTAAATCCTCAACCGAAAAACAGAAAACTATTTACACGTGGAAGAGGGATTCATTTGAAAACGATGGGAAAGACATCAAAAAACCTGAGTTATCACTCCGAGACGATATGATTTTTTTCGGTGGATTAGTTGAATCCTGCTTAATCCTAAACAAGATTGCAATATAACAATCTGGAATAAGAATTGCTGTTGAATGAAATACTGTTTCATAGAACAACCCCGTATTTGATTTCGAAGTGGACACATGTAGAGGTTCCCATCTGGAATGAATTATTTGAATGTCTGAGCATATAAAATCGTATATCAAAAATTACAAGGGGATTACTGGAAAGAGGTCAATCCTATCAAGATTTTGTAGCCTAGAAGGTTAAAAGGTAATAGATTTAACCATCTTTTTTTTATGTAAAATACGATCAGCCATCTGGAATAAAAAACAGTATTGATGTAAGGAAGTTTGCTAGGGGATTTTTTTTTTATTACGAAATACAAAACAAACACGAATTACAAAAGAAATACGGATTACAAAAGAAATACGAAATAATAATAATAATAATAGTAATAATAGATACGATAATAGTAATAATAATTACGATAACAATAATAATAACAGTAATGATAAAAAACAGTATTTAAAAAAAGTATTTTAATAATGGGCCATATTTTCCCAAGAAAGAAATTACTACGCATAATTACGAGGATCTGTCTCATAAAATTTGGCGGCAAATATCGGGTATTTCTCCTCGAAAACTTCTTTTGGTACCCAGCTGATTTCAGTAGTATTTTTCCATTTCACCAGGAATTTCGTTTTTCCATTAACAGTGATTGCGCGAATTATACGTCCTGGCTCCATAGCTGAAAATTTAATCATGCTAACATTATGGCACTGTAATTAATCAAGCTGAAATGAAAAAAAGATACAAGTGGGAAACTTAGCAAGAAATTGGGTATTTGTTTAATTACATGACCAATTAGTCTTATCATTAGATACGAAGTGAAAATATCATTGCTAGTATAGCTATATTTTCAGAAATCAAGCATTCTAGAAAAAAGTCGCACCGTTTCTTTTTTTTTAACATAGAGATCAATTTCGCAACCATTCCATTGTAAATAGGGGAATTAATCAATACCGAAATATATATTGTATGATATCAATGAATAATGATACAAACCTTGAGTGAAGTGTTCTCCACCTTCCTGCAGATGCGTTCCTTGCATTGGGCTTTCCTGATTATCAAAAGTCTATAAAGATAATTTTTTCTTCCCAAATGGAAGCATGTTCAAAAATCACTGAAAATTACAGTTAGAAATTCAGTATCATGAAGAAATTCTCGAAATTTTGGAAAGTCTATGAAAGGAAATAAGTTATCATAAAACAAAATTTACTCGAAAATAAAGTGCATTTTGATACTAAACTTTTAACTGTAATTTTCCTTAGCAATAATGTCTGTTAAGAG